TTGAAACCCTACAATTCAGTTGCTGGCATAAGAGCAAGCAGAAGAAGCTACGGTACCAATGCTATGGTGTCATTGAAAGTGCAAGGCATAGGCCATTTTTTCAGTCGATGGCGCATGGAAGCAGAGCTAGGCAATACAACGGTAGTGGAATACGATAGCATGAGGGGACCTACACCTCGGACTGTTTCAGGCTGGGCTACAGGCCTACCACAGGATTGCCTTGTACGAGTCATCTTCTATAGGCGAACCGCTAGCGATTTGTAGAATATACGCGTATGATATTATAATCCTTCCGTTGTCAAGGTTGTTTACCTAGGTGCCTAGGTAGGTAGTGTATGTCACTGGCTAACGAATATAACCACGTGACGAGCAAAATCCTCACTAGAGCCTTATTGCTTTCCACCGAAATGACCGCAACAACGCAGTGATGTTCCCTATATTTATTTTTATATATACTTCTGAGGCAGATCATGTAGAGGACATGTATATATGCTACAAAACATAATCTGCGCAAATGGTACTGTTTTTTTCGCCCCTTGTTGTACACATGTTTCTACATTTGTTGATTTTCACCTACACAGTAAGGAATAACAGCACAACAGCTACCTATTTTACTGTAGAAATAACATAGAGAGAATATTCGTACTCTATTATAACTCCTACAGTAGAGTTATAACAATGTAACGTTGTAGCGTTGCTGCACAGGCTGAAGAGGGCCGTTTTTGTGTGATATACACGATGCTAGTGCACGGGCGATTTCTCGCACATTTTGCACTAATCCTATTGTAGCTCAGAGAGACCACTCGTGCGCAACCAAACAAACAGCTGCCCGTCCGGCGATCAAACGAACCTCTTAAACCAAAGCAGATTATACGCATTGAAAAGCTTCCAAAGTGCTACGAGCATTGTCCACTTGGAACAATATGACTTCCCTTCGTGCTACAAGGCACTCCAACGAGGTACGTTCTCTCCAGCAGTGATGCCTCTCTGTGGCAGACAGTACCTAACGGAGCGTAGGCCCTTAATGACCTTAAGAGAATTTGGGAGCGCAGCCCAGCCCACGCCTGCTCAATTGTTGCCAGTGGTGTGTCCCAAGCCCTAGCACCATTCCAACAAGCGAAAGATGCTAACGAGCATAGTCCTGGGAGAAGGCTGGTTTGACCAACAGACAGACGTGCTGCAAAGGGAGAATACTGAGCAACAGACCAAAATTCGGCGATTATACAACGAGATTGTCCAGATAGACAAGGAGGCAGGGAGGAAAGCGGTGGAAGAGGTATACCTCTTGCATCCAACGCAGTATTTTGCTAAAATGTAGTAGTTCCGACGTGTGCTATGGAAGGCCCGAGAACAAATGACAAGTCGAGACTTTGCTCAAGCGGCGACTGCTACACTTGTAGCCGGTACGAGGGCACAGCGGTCACACTACAACAATTGCTGACACGAGCACAGCAATATACCCCCAAATATCTGCCAATTGCAA